TTCCTGAGGATCTCTACCATTTAATTAAGAAAGCAGTTGCTGTCCGAAAGCATCTTGAGAGGAACAGAAAGGATAAAGATGCTAAGTTCCGTCTGATTCTGATAGAGAGCCGAATTAACCAGTTGGCTCAATATTATAAGACCAAGCGGTCTTATATGAATCATATTTCATATATTCATATATGAATATATGAATTCATATTTCCAAGCGGAAATATGAATCACCCACAGCCTCTGCCCTAGTGGCATAAATTTGTCTTGTGTACCCAAGCAATAAAATAATTGTTTCAATAAAAAAAAAACGTAGACAGGAGTTACACATAGGGACATGAAGGCCTGGAAGGGGCAGGGGGCTGGCCTAGCCTCCTGGCTGGCAGCACTTCTCAGCTTCTCGTGGGCATCAGAGCTGGCTGGTGGTGACTGGTCTGTTTTCGACCCCACAAACAGAAGCTTTTCTGTGCCTGTCCTCAGGGATAGGAGCCCTGCACCCCTGTGTCCTGATTGTTTTCTCCCAATTAAGCAAAGAAGCCAACTACTTTATTCTTAAGCAAACTAATTGCATCTTAGCAGGCCCTGTGCCTCTGAAAACCAGTCTTGCTTCACCTAGTGAAGGCCGTTCTCTCTTTCTGGCTTGGAAAAATTCCCTGCAGGTTATTGATGGGTTTAGTACTGGAACACGAAGCAAAATAATGTGAAAGGCAAGACATGGAAAAATGAGGCATGATTTTGGTTTGCCAGGCATTTCTCCCTCATCTATTAACTTAACTAGCAACTATACTACCTAGTCAGAGGAGGCAAAAATGGTTCTATCATCATTGTATAGATGAAAAAAATGCTAGTGGTACATTTTTTAATTTATTTTTTCTAACAGTACATTAAATGATGGTCCACAGCTCATCAAAAGAAAAACCAGCCTAGGGCTCTTTCTCCTATACTTTTTCCACTGGACCCAGGTGTATATGCTTGACACTTGAAGACATGTGCTAACATACTCCAGGACACCACATGCCAAATAATATCCCCAGATGCTAACAGGGAGTGTTTTAGTTTCATCTCAAATGAGTTCATTGTGTATATAAAGCACACATCATTTAGTGAGCACTTCATGTGAGTCTGGAGACATTTCTGTGCCTAAAAGCTCCTACATGACCTTTTCAGGTGCCCATTGTGAGATATTCTGGATAGCAGTTGCTGTTTTGTGGGCTAACAGATTCATGGCAGTAGATTTTTGTGGGGAGACATTCCCTAGGCCTGGTCTTCCTGCCCCAGTAGTGTTTGAGAAGGTGGATGGCTCTTCTAGCTTGACTTTGACCTTAGCTCACTCTTTGCTGGTAGAAGTTTGTGGAGCTTTTGTTTTGTCTCCTACTAGCTACCTTAGCAACTTGGAACCAGCCTGGCTAAGTGACACAGGTCCAAAATGGACTGTTGTGTGTCACTTCTTGTTTCTTAAAGTTATCTGCTAGGTACTTAGCTCATTGCCAAGTTTATCAAATGCTGTTGTGTTCAGCTCTGTGGAAGATACATGGTGGGGGAAGTGATTAAAGTTCCTGGCAAGGTGCCATTCGTTCATTCAGCAAGTAGATACTGAGCTCCTGGGTACCACGCTGTATCCCCAGTGCTGTGCATGCAAAGATAAAATTTGACATGCTCCTGGGCTACTGGATCTAGTAGGGCCCTGACACCACAATGGGCATTCAATGAATTGCTGGTGTTCGCCGACAGTTAGGCTCTTAGTGTAACAGTAGTGGCTCATTAACAGAATCATGAATGCTTTACCGTCTTAAAGTTACAGGAAACAAGGACTTAACCTTATTTTGATACTTGGTGGTCTATCTACATTTCTCTAACTGTTCTTTATCAAACCATCATATAGTCACATCAGAAAGGTGTTTTTTTCATCTGATGGCTGGAAAACATTGGTTGGTGTAAAGGATTGTCACTGCATTTGCTGGAGTAGACATAATCTGTTTGGACTATTAGCTTTGACATGGGCTTCTGTACTCTGAGTAGGGGCCTTGAGCATCTTTCTGGAGCTCCTCTCCAGAGCTTACTGGTCTCATTTCTGGGCTGGCTTTTTATAAAAACTATACTGCAGTTTTGGGGGGATTTTTTGGTGATATTGGGAATTGAACCCAGGGCTTTGTGCTTGCTAAGCAAGTGGTCTGCCACTTGAGCCATGCCCCTAGCCCTTTTGTTTTTATTTTGGTTTTGAGATAGGATCTGGCTATCTTTGCCTGGGCTGACCTTAACTGACAATTCTTCTGCCTTTGTCTCCTGAATAGCTGGGATTATAGGTGTGAACCACCACACCTGGCCCTGTGGTGTTTTTTTTTTTAAACTATTAGCAGGGGAAATTATAGATGTATGAACAATAAGTCCTTTTTTAAAAAAAATAGCAACCTTATTGAAATATAATTCATATACTACAACATCCACCCTTTTAGAGTCTTTTTTTTTATTGTTTTATTATTCATATGTGCATACAAGGCTCGGGTCATCTCTCCCCCCCTGCTCCCACCCCCTCCCTTACCACTCACTCCACCCCCTTCCTCTCCCCCCCACCCCCTCAATACCCGGCAGAAACTATTTTGCCCTTATCTCTAATTTTGTTGAAGAGAGTGTATAAGCAATAATAGGAAGGAACAAGGGTTTTTGCTGGTTGAGATAAGGATAGCTATACAGGGAGTTGACGCACATTAATTTTCTGTGCATGTATGTTACCTTGTAGGTTAATTCTTTTTGATCTAACCTTTTCTCTAGTTCCTGGTCCCCTTTTCCTGTTGGCCTCAGTTGCTTTTAAGGTATCTGCTTTAGTTTCTCTGTGTTAAGGGCAACAAATGCTAGCTAATTTTTTAGGTGTCTCCTTTTAGAGTCTTAAAATATTTTTTTTTTTTTTCAATGCTGGGATTGAACCTAGGAAAGCCTCTACCACTAAATTACATCCCCAGCCCAGATTCATCCTTGTAAGGTATACAACTCAGTGATTTTAGTATATTCATAAAGCTTTGCAAGCCATGCCACTATGTAATTCAGAACATTTGCATCACCCCAAATAGAGATGGTACACTTGTTAGCAGCTCCTCCATGTTCACTCCTACCCCAGCCTCTGGCAAGCACTAATCTACTTTCTGCTTTATGAATTGGCCTGTTCCGAACATTTACTATAAGTGAATCATATATTATGTGACCTTTTGTGTTTGGCTTCCTTCACTTCATGGTATTTTCAAGGTTCATCCATGTTGTGGCCTATGTCAGTACTTAAACTCCCCACCCCCACAGTGTTAAATATTATTTGATAGTCAGTTACTTTCATCTCTCAATTTTTCTTTTTTTGGGGGTGGGGGCAGGGGGGAGAAATAAACCAAGCCTTGTATGCACATATGAATAATAAAAGAAAAATGAAAAAAAAAATTTTTTTCTTTTTTTAAAAGATAGGGTCTGCTGTGTAGCCCAGGCTGGCCTCAAACTCATGATTCTCCTCACTCGGCCTCCCAAGTGCTGGGACTACAGCCATGTACCACCATACCTGGTGGAAATTTTTATTATTTTCAGAGGGAAAATATTTGTACTTTACTTTCTCTACTTGATAAATTTGTTGATTGAGGTTGTGTGCAAAACTTACTGGCTGCTTCATAAGCATATTTAAGGGACTGGATTACTAATAAAAATACTCTGGAAATATCATACAGAATATTCCAAATTCTATAATTATAGCTGTGAAAAACATTTTAATGTCTTTAGAATGAGAGAAATGTGATTATGTTGGTTCATATATTTTTCTCAATCTCTGGGTATAAGGTTAGGTAAGTGAAATTTAAATAAAAGATTACCATGAATTTAAGGAAAATCTGCCATCATAGTCATTTTTCCTCACTGAAAATTTTTCTTCACTGGGTTCATTCCTTTGTATGGCTAATATTCAGTGTACGTTATGCCATGTTTTGTCTATGTATTCATCATGTATGCTTTGTGTGGACATCTGCTTTTAGTGCTGTTGGGTGTGTACCTAGGAATAGAATTATTGAGTCATATGGTAATCATTTATATAACATTTTGTTTGTTTTTATTAGACAGAATCTTGCTAGGTAGCATAGGAGAACTCTTGGTCCTCCTATGGTTAGGAATCTGGGCCTCCTGAGTAGCTAAGGGTGTGCCACCATGCCTGGCTCAACTATAACTTTTGAGGACATGCCAGACTGTTTTCCAGAGTAGCTGTACCATGTTACATTCCTACAGTGTTGTAATTTCTCTACAACCTTGCCAACACTTCATATTGTCTTCTTGGGCTTGGGCTTGCTAGGCAGGTGCTCTACCACTTGAGCCATTCCACCCGCTCTGTTATTATCTTTTTGATCATAGCCATTCTAGTGGGTGTAAAGTGCTGTCTCACTGTGGTTTTTTTCTCTAGTGAGGAATGATGCTGAGCATCATTTCATATGCTTATTGGTCTTTTGCATATCTTCTTTGGAGAAGTGTCCATTCAGATTCTTTGCTTGTTTTTTAATTGGGTTATTTTTTTTCCTGTTGAGTTTTAAGAGTTCTTTATATATTCTGAATACTAGTCCTTTATCAGGTATATGATGTACAGATATTTTCTTTCACTGTGTGGATTGTCGTTCACTGTCTTGATAGTGTTCTTTGCAGCACATAGGCTTTAAATTTTAATCAACTCTAATTTATGTCTTTTTTTCCTTTAAGAAACCATTGCCTAATCCAAAGTCACAAAGATTAACTCCTTTTTTTTTTTTTTTTAAAGTGTTTTATAGTTTTAGTTCTTTTATGACCACTGAATTCTTATACTGACTGAGGCTTCAGAGGCTCTTGGGAGCTATTTGCTAAGGGTGGTGGGTGGTAGTAGAGCTGTTGTTCTGGGACTTCTTTTCCTTCCCTTGTATTTTTCCTGACAAGGCAATCTTGACTTGACCTTTTTACAGGTGTTTCTGTTTTGCAGTTTTCATATTTCATTGTTTTTCTGTGTGTGTGTTTTTTTTTTTTTTGAAGGTAACAAATGAAGAAGACTTTATTAGGAAATTGGACTGTAAACCTGATCAACATCTGAAGGTGGTTTCCATTTTTGGAAATACTGGTGATGGAAAGTCTCATACGCTCAACCACACTTTCTTCTATGGCCGTGAGGTCTTCAAAACTTCCCCTGCCCAGGAATCCTGCACTGTGGGAGTGTGGGCAGCCTATGACCCAGTCCACAAAGTCACAGTGATAGACACAGAAGGGCTCTTGGGGGCTACCGTGAATCTAAGCCAGAGAACACGGCTGCTGCTGAAGGTCCTGGCCATCTCAGACCTGGTCATCTATCGAACTCATGCAGACCGGCTACATAATGACCTCTTTAAATTCCTGGGGGATGCCTCTGAAGCCTATCTGAAGCACTTCACCAAGGAGCTCAAGGCTACCACTGCCCGCTGTGGCCTGGATGTCCCCTTATCCACCCTGGGCCCTGCAGTTATTATTTTCCACGAGACCGTGCACACTCAGCTTCTTGGCTCTGGTGAGTAGATGGGGTACTGTGTCACAGAGTGACCTTTTTGGGTACAAGGAGGTGGCCAGTGGGCTGGAATAGCAACTTGGTGGTGGTGGATTGCCCAGGTAAGACATAAGGAAGTGTTCTAAGAAGGATGGAGTTGTCAACCATGTCAAGGATTGAGAATTGCCAATTGACTTTGGAACCATAGAGGTGGGATGAAAGCTGGATCAGAGTGAGGTCAATAGGTGAGTTGGGTGTGGTGGTGCATGCCTGTAATTCTAGCACTTGAGAGGCTGAGGCAGGAGGATCATGAGTTCAAGGCCTGCCTGAGCTACATCAAGAGATCCTATCTTAAAAAAAAATAGGTTACGAGTATATTGAACTCTTTCTAAGACTTCTATAAAGAGAAGCAGAACAGTATAGTGATAGCTGGAGCCTAATGTAGAATTTCAAGGAATTTCTCTTTTTAAAGTTTAAGATGGGAGATATTACAGATACTGGTTTACTGATGAGGCAGTACAAGAGAGCAGGTGCCTAGCATGCTTGAGGCCCTGGATTCAATCCTCAGCACACCACATAAAGAAAGAAGGAAAAACAAACCAGGAACAATTGGAATGTTGGTCAGGTAGAAGAGTTGACTTAGTCAGGAGCGTGGACAGTTCATCCACATCAGTAGGAGAGAGAGAGGCTGTGTGGACATGGCTGTGTGGACATGACTACGGGTAAGCAGATAGATGTGGGTGTGGGTGTAAACTCTTGTCTTACTGTTTTCATTTTAGAGAAATAGGGAGCAAGATTACTGCCTGAATGGGGGGGATGAAGGAACAAGTGCAACAACAGTGATGGATGGTGGCATATAGCAGTATGGCCCCCAAAACAGTCATACATTCACTCAGCGAAGTATACATCATGTGCTGAGCACTGGGACACAGAGTTAAAACAACATCCACTCTTGACCAACTCACAGTTTAGTTAAGGGGAGACCACTGCTGTTCTGATCTGAGGCAGATGTTGGTAGTGGAGCTGGGGCAGTGCAGAGGAGGGACTCTGCACATCCTATGTGATCTTGGAAAGAGGAGGTGATGTTTGCTCTGAGCCTTGGCTAGGTAGAGGAGGAGAGGGTGATGTTCTTGGAAGAGCAAATGTATGGCAGCTTCCAGCAGAAGGTTATATGAAGGAAACTACTGCAGTAGTTTCTTAAACTCCAGCCATGCCCCCTTGGATGTGTTCTCCACTCAGCAGCAAGAGTGATTTCTTTAAATAAAGGCTTAATTTATAATTTAGATCCTGTGATATTTCTGCTGTATCTTGTCAGTGGCTTTCAACTACATCAAAATATAATCCAAGTTCCTAAATACGGTGTGCTAATTCTAATTCCTTCTTGTAGGTCTGATCTCCTCTGCTTACTCCCTGCACTGTCTCCCCACTCTGTATGTGTACATGTGTATATATATATATATATATACCCACTCTCCAAGTGGCAGTGCTGCCTTTCTCTGTTCCTTGCATATGCTACTCTGGGTGGTCACTCTGTCCCCTTCTGTCTCTCAGATTCAGCTCAACTCTCAGCCCTGTAAAGGCTTTCCTGACTACCCCCATAATGTGGTGTTTCCTAAACTCTACTGCTTACACTGTTGTCTCTGTTCATCTGCACATGTCACATCTGAAGTCATCCTAGGCATTGCTTTTTTGTTGTTGGTCTTTTCCCATTAGAGTGGAAACAGGATGAGGGCAGGAATTGCCTGCCTTATTTACTTTATCTAAAGAGCCTGGATGAGTGTTTGACACACAGATGTTTGCTGAATGAATAAATGAAGAGGTTCTGTGTCTGAAGCACAGTTTGTGTAGGAGGAGTGTTGGAAATTCTTGAGTTGCCTTGACTCAGTTCTCAAGAATGACAGGAGCCCCTGAAAGACCATAAGCGGAGTTAACACCGTCAGATTTGTGTTTTCAAAATCTCCCTTGGCAGCCTGTTGGAGGGTGAGTTAGAGGTGCCTGCCTGGAGTCAGGGAGGCCTGTCAGGAGGTTGTCACGGTATTCAGGTGAGAGAAGGTGGAGACTGGGCCAAGGCAGTAGTAGTAGAAGGGCAGTGGACAGGCTGAGCCCTAAGAGAGGTGGTGATGGGCCTGGGACTAGTTGATTGTGTGGTCCCAATGACTCATGACCTTCTAGAGTGAAAGCAGAGACTCAAGAGCAAGTGACTATGAGGTAAGAAGAGGTGAGAAATACTGCCTTAGGATGCTTCCTGTGACCAGTGCTTCTTGTGCCACTTTGGATCTTTACAACTTTGAGGGGAAGGTTTAATTGTCAGTTCAGGATTTTGAAATGACAAGTCTGCCGTGTCCTATGCAATGTGGGTTTTTGTTTGAACTCCTTCCTCAGCCTCCTGATTGCTGGAATTTACAAGCATGGTCCACCACATTGGGCTATGCTATGTGTTTTAAAATAAATACTAATTTGACTGTCTTTGTTATTCAGTACAGTCTGTAGCAATCTCATTTTACAGATGAAGAAACCAAACTTAAGAGAGCTTCTTACATTATGTAACCCAGGAGGTTCTAGCAAAACTGGGATTCAAATCAAGGTCTTCTAACTCCTAAATCCAGAGCTTTTTCTTGAATACCACTGTGGCTTCCTAAAACCGTAAGATGGAACCACGGAAGCCACAATTTATAAATTTATAAATTTATAATTTATAGGAGGGGGTGCCTGAATGATGGGCAAATTGATAATTAGATTTTTTTCTTTCTCTCATAGAATTTCTGGTTTTATGTTTGTTTTTCTTTTCTGGATATAGGATTCCTAGCCAGGGTTTTAGTAGAAAAATGAATTATAGGTTGAATATTCCCTATCCAAAATGCTTGGTACAGGAGCCAGGCACCATGGCTCACATCTATAATCCTAGCTACTTAGGAGGCAATCAGGAGGATCATGGTTTGAAGCCAGCCGGGACAAATAGTTTGCAAGATCCTATCTCAAAAAAACCCATCACAAAAAAGGGCTGGCAGAGTGGCTCAAGTGCTAGAGTGACTGCCTAGCAAGCGTAAGGCCCTGAGTTCAAGCAACATTACCACATTAAAAAAAAAAAAAAAAGCTACAAAATGCATGGGACCAGGCTGTTGGCATGGCTCAAGTGGTAGAGCCCTTGCCTAGCAAGCACAAGGTCCTGAGTTCAACTCCCAAAATGGTTGGGACCAGAATTGTTTCAGATCTTGGAGACTTTTGGAGTTTGGCCTATTTGCATAGACGTTACTGGTGAAACCTCCTTAATTTGAAAATCCCAAACCTGAAATGCTCCAAAATCTAGTGTTCCAAAATTTTTAGAATTTGGAGCATTTCAGACTTTGGATTTTCAAATTAGGGATGCCCAGTCTGTATTTCTGTTTTACACGTGAGCAGTGGTTACATGTCAAGGGACAAACTGTAAGGTGGCTGGCAGGAAGGGAAGGAAGCTGGACTGAGCTCCTGGGTGACTTTGGGAGAAGCCGGCGACCCCCACAGCTACTTCTTTTTTCCCCCGTAATACTGTGGTTTGAACTTAGGGCCTACACCTTGAGCCACTCCAGCAGCCCTTTTTTGTAATGGGTTTTTTTCAAGATGGGGTCTTGTGAACTGTTTGCCTGAACTGGCTTCGAACTGCGATCCTTGATCACTGCCTCCTAAGTAGCTAGGTTACAGGTGTGAGCCACTGGCACCCGCCAGAGCTACTTCTTTCAAAATTGCAAGATGTGATGAGTGTAGGGAATGAAGTGGAGAGTTGTGGCTACTTTTCTTTGATGACTGTTCCTTTAAATTTAAGCTAATGAGAGTTGGGGATATGGCTCAGTGGTAGAGCATGCACCTATCATGCATGAGGCCCTGAGCTCCATTCCCAGCACTGCAAAAACAAATGAACAAATACTTTTTACTTTTTTTTTGAGGGGGCAGTGCTTGGGTTTGAACTTAGGGCTTCAAAGCTTGCTAGGCAGACTTTGAAAAATTATTTTAAAAAATTATCTTAAAAATAATTATTAAAAAAAAAACAAATAAATTTGACCTAATCTGTCTTCAGTGTTAATTGGAATGATCTTATTAAAATATTAAAGGACATTAAACAAAACAGTGCTTCCATCCTTTACCTCCAAAACACTTGCTGACTCCATCTGTCCTCCAGCTGTCTACACTTCTAGGCAAATACTGAGCCCATGATGAGCTAATACCTCCTGCACTGGTAGTTGCTTACAGCTTCATCATTTAAGACCAGAAATTTCAAAGTACAAAATTTTAAATGCTTACTCATTAGTAGGTGAGTGGTTAAATATATGTACAGGCTGAAGACTGTATAGCTGTTAATATGAATAAGGAACTTCTCAGCATGAGTCATAACAAGGACAGATGCAGAATATTATTTAAGTGCTAACAAAGCATGTTGCACATAAATGTTGGTAAATGTGGCAGAAAAAACTCTGAAATGGTGAACTCTGAACTATAGTTACCTTTGGGGAGTAGAAGGGAGCTAAGTCCATACATATCTTTTCTTTTATGCTTTGTGACCCATTTTTCTTACAGTGAAGACATTTTTTTGTTGGTACTGGAGTTTGAACTCAGCCTCATGCTTATTAGGCATGCACTTTTGTCTCTTGAGCCACTCCACCAGCCCAGTGAAGACTTTCAAATAGACTACTTTGAAGTATGATTTGTGTATGGAAAAGTGCATATTACATTAATGTGTGTAATGTGATGAATTTTCACAGCCTGAACACACCCATGTAATCAGTACCAGATCACAAAACACCCATGCCTTCTGTTGGCAATAATGGCGCCGATAGGTTTCGGTTCTTACTGCACCCTTAAGCTTCTGTTTCCCAGGGTCACAGTCCTGCCTCAAGTCTAGCTTGAATCCTCCTTCTGCCCCAACCTCCAATCAGCATAAACCATAAGATCCTAACCAATCAGATCATGCTGAGTCTCACTGAGGGGTATTTAAGCCCCTGTCCTTCTCTCTCTCTCTCTCTCTCTCTCTCTCTCTGCTCTCTTGGCTCTCTCCCTCTCCCACCCAGCAATATAGAATCTCTTGCCAGATCACTCCTCTCCACATGGTCACTTTTGGGGCCTATATTTCCAACACCTTTCTCTTGCTCCTTTCCAGGCAAGGCTAACCTAATGGTATAATTCTAACAACATGTTAGTTGTGGCTATGTGTATAGTTCACATATATGGAGTAGAGTTTGTCTTAGTTTTACAAGGAAGATAGCTAACTTCTTTGTTTTCTTAAAGTCACTCACTAGGGCTGGAGGCATAGCTTAAATGGTAGACCATCTGCCTAGCAATGTGAGGCCCTGAGTTCTAACTCTAGTACCTCCAAAAAAAAAAAAATAGAAGTTATCACTCATTGCTCATGTCCCTCTTTCTGCTTGTACAGATCATCCCTCAGAGGTGCCAGAGAAGCTCATCCAGGACCGGTTCCGGAAGCTAGGCCGCTTCCCCGAAGCCTTCAGTTCCATTCACTACAAGGGAACCAGGACTTACAACCCCCCCACAGATTTCTCTGGGCTTCGACGTGCTTTGGAGCAGCTGCTAGAGAACAACACTACCCGGTCTCCCCGGCACCCAGGGGTCATCTTCAAAGCCCTGAAGGTCAGTTGGCTCCTGCCCTGGGTGCTTCTCTTGGGTACGAGTGAGTGGTGAGAACACTCAGTTTTCCAGCATTCATGATGCAGGTAATTGGAAGACTGGGATGTAAAGAGAAAGTATAGGAAGAGGAAGAGCATGAGTGGAGTTTGCATCTATCCCATGCCTTCATCTTACTGACAGCATGAGTGTGGAGGCATCTTGAGTCATAACAAAAAGTTGATAGAGCCTCATTTTGGAGAAAAAGTAAGCTTTTGGGGAATAGGAAAAAGCATTCGTTCTGGGTGGTCTGGCCCAGTCCTAGTGAGTTGACCTCAGATTGAAGCTCAGTTTATACTTTATGCTTTTCTTTATATTAACTTAACTGTGCTTTTTTTCTTTAGTTTTACTATTTTTTTCCTTACTTTTCATAGTTTGTTTTCTGTTGTTACAACAAAATACCTGAGACTGGATAATTTATAAAGAATAGAGGTTTATTTGATTCATAGGTCTGGAGAATTTCCATTGTGCTGGCATCTGCTCAGCATCTGGTGAGGGCCTTTTTGCTGAATGGTTACATGGTGGAGGGCATCACATGGCAAGACAGAGCAAGTGTTTCAGGGGGCTCTCATGACCTCCTACCCTTCCCCCAAGGTCCCATTTCCAAATACAATGAATTTGAGGATTAAGTTTCCAACATGTGAAATTTGAGGGATATATTCAAATCTCAGCATCACCAAAATGAACTTTTTTTTTTTTTTGGTGGTATTAAATTTAGGGCCTCACACTTGCTAGGCAAGTGCTCTTACTGCTTTTGCCATTCCAATAGCCCTTTTTTGTGATGGGTTTTTTTGAGATAGGGTTATCCAAGCTATTTGCCAGGCTGGCTTTGAACTGTGATCCACCTGATCGCTGCCTCCTGAGTAGGATTACAGGTGTGAGTCACCAGTGCCTGGCCAAAATTAACTTCTTAAGAAGGAAACCTTGTTGTCACTGTAAGTGGAATGTTTGTATCCCAGGTAGAAAATTATCAACATAAAACCCAAAAACAGTCACATGATAACAATAATTAATTGCTTATTAGGTACTGAAGTTGAGAGTATTAGCATTTTGTATGAATTAATTCATTAATCCTTATTAGTATTTTCATTAATCTGTATTAGTGTTTTCATTTTGAAGATTGGGAAACTGAGGCACAGAGAAATGGAAGTAATTGGCAATAGTTACTAAGTGACAATAGGCATAAACTAAGCCCTGGTCATTTTATTCCAGAGCTCCTTCTCATAATCAGGAAGGCTCTACTGCCTCTCAGCAAATAAAATAACATAGTATTTTTAGTCAGAGACTGTTGCTCATGGAAGATTCTGAGACTTGGGCCTGTTTCTTCTTTATTTAAAAGGAAGATTAGCAAGTATATAGGAGATAACAGATATACTATTGTCTGTGTAGATTTTTCTCCTTAACAGATTCTAAAATTTGGAAAAGAATTGGAAAGGGGTAATTTTTTGTGGAGTTTAATGTTATTCAGTGTGTCACCTATAATCAAGTCCTATATCACCTGAAGTCTGTCATATATGCCAGTGATAGGAGGCTCACCTTTTGGGAAACCAACTCTTAAGCATCGTATCTGTTTCCTTTAAAAGCAGGTTTATTATTTTTCTTGCGTATCCCAGCAATAGGATCAATGTATTGTTTCGATTGCATAGTGAATTCCTATTATAAGGCACTCTGCTGTTCTTTAGGCTCAGGTTTATCTGCAGCTCCTTCTAACAGAGGGCTCTTACTTCTTTTACACAGAGAACCTTCCCCGCCGCCCCAGGTGGGCTTCCAGCCCTTCAACCAATATGGGTGCTACATAGCCCATCTGAGCCCCTTCGGGATTAATCTGTGTCCCCTTCTCTATCAAATGGTGTCTTGGGCCCCACAGCTACCTGGGTAGGAGGAGATCACTGCACTGAGTATTAACACCTCACTTCTGTGTGGTACTGCCGCTCTTCCACCGTGTAGTCATGGCCATCAACAGCAAGAAATGGCTGGAACAAGGGCAGTATGGGGAACAGAACAGCATAACTGGAAACCGTGACTTAGAGTATTACTGATTGTTGAAAATTGCTGTTTAAAGAATTTGGGATGGCTGGGAATGTAGCTAAGTGGTAGAAAATTTGCCTGGCATGCCTGAGGCTCTTCATCAATCCTCAGCAACATACACACACACACACATACACACACACACACACACACAAATTGGCTAGGTGGTCTTGATGAAATTTTGATGTTTTTTTCCCACATGCATTGTTTAGAACATTCCCAGGGCCTACTAAAGCCAGGAAAAGTTTTTCCAAAAGAAATTTAGAAGTTGTTGATACCATTGTAGAAATAAGATTTAGGGACGTTTTGTTCAGTGATCAGTTGTCTAAATTCATATCCTTATGGTTTATGTAAGGAATACATGCTTAAGTATAGAAAATGTGGATCCCACAGTAGAAGATAACTGAAAACAGAGGCCACCAATAATCCCCCCATTAGAGAATGGAACTACTAACATTTTAATATGTGCCCTTGCATGCTTTGTGTCTTAAATAGGTACATAGCTTGCCATAATATTCTAGATACCAATTTGCAGTCTATTTTTTATTTTTTAGCCTATAGTAATTGTACCAGGCAGGTTTCATTGTGACGTTTACATATGTGCTTAGAGTCACCCCCTCCAAATTTGTAGTTCTTGTTTTGGCTGTACTGGGGTTTGAACTTGGTCTCAGGCTTGTTAGGCAGGCATTCTACCACTTGAGCCAGTCCGCAAGCCCTGTTTTGTGTTGAATATTTTTGAGATAGGGTCTCACCAACTATTTGCCTAGGCTGGCTTTAAACCACAGTCTTCCTGATCTGTGCCTCCCAATTAGCTAGGATTACTGATAGTGCAGAGAGGGCAAGAGGAAATGCTGACTAGAGGACTGGAGTAGGGATGAAGATGCCCAGGGGTTAGAGGGAGAAGAGATTTGGAACTGGGAGGAATGAGAAGGGACAGGAGAAAAGGGGTTGGCACAAAGGTGGGCAGACCCTGTGGTACATGCTGATTTGCATAATCTGTGGAACTTCAAAGATTTGGTATGGGGCATAATGTAAATAGTGAATTTGAGTAAATCATGTATGGGGGTTCCTTATATGATCCTTGCAGCTTTTCTGAAATTTGAAATTATATCAAAATAAAAAGTCACTCCTCCCTCCCAAAAAAGAGAATAAAACCAATTTGTGGTTTTGTATAATAGTTAAAAGCCTGGGCTCTGGAATCAGGTTCACTTGTGTTGGAATTCTGTTTACCAGTTGTTTGGTCGTGGGAAATTATTCATTCATTCATTCAACAAATAAATGAGCACATTTGTGTGCCAGGCAGAGTTTGAGGTGCTGAGTATACAGCGGTAAGTAAAACCAACCAAGATCTCTGCTCTGGGAGTTCTGCTCCAGACTTTTCCTTAACTATAGGAAGGGGTAATAGAATGTTCCCAACAGGGCTGATGTGGGGGTGAAATGAGAACATATTAAGAAGCAAAGTGCTTGGTATATACTAAATGTTCAGTGGGAGTGATGTTAAGGAAAAATTGAAAATTTTATATGAATAATTCATGAAGTACTTTTAGAATTTTAGAATTTGAGGCTAACGTGTACTTAAGAGGTATTGGCTAATCGTGTCCTTATAATGGCTCAAAGGCAGTCCAGGTGGAATCTACTCTTAATGCAGACATTCTCAAAAGACGCAGAATCTGTATGATATACAAATGGTTATAAATATGATCACTGTGAATTATAAGGTGAGTAGGCCAGTGGATTATGGCAGTTTCTTAGCTTTTCTCAAAATTAACCCAGCTTAATGTTTAAATGAAATCGTCAGGGAGATTGAATGCTGCAAGCAGTAATTACTGCTCAGGGATTTTTCTCTTTAGGAATCTTGCTTGTCTTACTCCAGGCCACTTGGTTAGGCACTTTTGAGGAAAACAGTTACACTGTATCCTTGTAAGATGATACCATTCATGAAATGTTCTGTGATTAAATTAACTGGTCAGCTGGAATTCTGATGATTCTTAGTAACTGGTTTATCTAGAATTTCTCTTGAACCTGGTATTTTCTGCTCTCTGTGGTAGGTGAGGGGCTATGCTGGACTGAGATGTAGAACCTACTCCTCCTACTCCTGTCTTTGGGAAAGAGTGACCTGTTCAGGCACATGGTTTGGGCTGTCCCCAGGAAAGTGTATTTGTTCTTGCATCTTACTCAGTCCTGTTTTTTCTTTGTTTGTTTGTTTCCTTCTTTAAATTTGGAGCGATGATCAGCATTAGGCATATTGAGTAGAGTCTTATTGCTGTTAAAATTAATTCTGCTGTCTTCATAGTTCCCAGTATTCCTAGTAGTGTATAATGTAGTGGTGGTCTGTTCTTATCCACTTACTCTTTTATACTGTTGTATTTTTTTGTGTGTGGTACTGGGGATTTAATTTGTTAAAGAAGATAGTGGGGGTGGGTATAGACAGGTAATTGGTCAAATGCCAAAATAATTTGTTTGGCTTCCTCTTTTTCCCTTGATATTCTTTATTTCTTCTGATTCCTTAGCAACTCACTGAATAAATACTTTGAGAAGGCTAGGGATGTATTTTAGTATTATTTATATGATTCTTTGCTACTTATTTAAAAAAGAGAATTGGAGCCTGTAATTCCAACACTTAGGATGTGGAGGCAGCAGGATCACTAGTTGAAGTCTATTCTGGGCTACATAGTGAATCCTCGTCACAAAAAAAAAAGTGGAGTGGCTCAAATCGTAGAGTGCTTGAATGCAAGGGCTGAGTTCAATCTCCAATAACAATAAATAAATGGGAACAGAGTTTCTCTTTAAAATAAAAAAAAAGTTATTAGCTTTAACTTTTTATTTTTTGCGTGGCACTGGGAATCAAATTCAGAGCCTTGTGCCTGTTAGGCAAGTTTTTTGAGACAGGGTCTTGCTAACTGCCCAGATTGACCTGTAACTTAAAGATCCTCCTGCCT